CAGGGCTCTAATCAGACTCCAGGGAGACACAGCATGTTATCAGGCCTCAGCTCACTGATGTCAAACGTTCCTGATGAAGAGTTTCTGCTACCTTTTTAAGTTAATGAAGTTACAATCACCGTGTGGTGGTCGGGTACAACCGCACTGCAAAGTAGACAGAATAAAAAATAAAGATAAATAGACTCTGCACACTGATGCTCTGAGGTTGCGCAAGACATTTATCACAGAGTAAGAACCCTAGTGAGCAGACTCCATTTTTCTCTGTCTATTAGTTGTTGTTCTTTGGACTTTGGAGAATAGAAATAGCAACAAATACAAAGAAAGCCATGTTGGACAGTTACAGCAAACTGTACAATAAGTGTCCTGGGAGACACGGAGAAATGCCTGAGAGTGACTAAGGACTTTACAACAGACTTGACAAATGGTACATTTACAGGGAAGTTTTCTTATTAGCATTTTAATTCAGTTAAATGATATGAGCATAAATTTGAAAGCAGCATAGTACAAACTGCTGTACTGAATATACATAGTGGGCATGTAGACGACTGACTGAACAATGAACCTTTCATAATAAGTGAAAACTGAATTTGCAAAGTGAGTACATTGCTGCTGGACTACATAGGAAAATACTTGGAAAACATTTAGCTGCAGTTTACCACTAGATGGCATCATATGCTGAGAGCTCCAAATACATCATAGAGACAAATGAGAACAGGCTGCAGATGTGCACCGCACATGATTATTCAATATTTCATGATGAGTGTATTTTCTCTAACTGTATTGCATTATTTAAGATCTAAGCTATTACCTAGACCAGTTGTTCCCAACCTCTCAGGCTTGCGAATCATGAAGACTTAAGATGAATCTACTTTCGTGAAGTGATGAACAGTTCAACAACAGACTATATATTTTTGATTTTCAAAAAGTTTTTAGAGTGTTCTTTTCATTTTTAGAGCCCTAATCACATGACTCCATTCTGTGTTTCACAAGAAATAAGCAAAAATTATATTAAAAAAAATAATAAAAATAAAATAAAAAAGAGAAAAACAACTTAATTTTGTGTTAACACTATTATTTGTATTTGTTGACCCTTTAATCATCTGCAACCCTTCATATTTCTCTCCCTCAGTTGGGAATCATGGAGTAAGTTGAGGGTTAAAATGCCTGCTCTGCCTCTCAGACTCCGCCTCCTTCGGGTGACTCAGCATAACAGGAAGTAGGAAGTGCTCCCAGTTAGATACGCATTTCTGTCACAGGACCTTGGTTGTCAGGTATGTTTGGCTCTAACTCTTCTAATATGAAACTGGCAGTGGCTCAGTTTGCATCTAAAGGCTTTTAACACTGGTTTGTGTTCAGTTGTCTTCACAGGGTGCAGTAAATAGACTGCAAAGCAATAGATTGTCAGCAAGGGCTTCCCCTGTGTTTGATCACCTTTGCCTTACTTTCGTTTTCAGAGTAAATCAGGAGCTAAAGTGTCGGAATGGCAGGCAGGCTCTCGCTCCCAGAGGTCGACCTCTCCTGTCCCATATGCTGTGAAATCTTCAGGGACCCGGTGGTCCTCAAGTGCAGCCACAGCTTCTGTGCACCCTGTCTGCAGCAGTACTGGACTCCGGCACGGGGCCGAAGCCGTGACTGCCCTCTGTGCAGAAGCCAGAGCGTGGATGATCCCGTGCCCAGTCTCACCCTGAAGAACCTGTGCGAGTCGTACGTCAGCCTGGAGAGCGAGGAGCTGGAGGAGAAGGCAGGAGAGTTGTACTGTGATCCGGGGGAGATGTGCCCACTTCATGGAGAGAGGCTTAAGCTTTTTTGCCTGCCGGACAAGGAGCCCATCTGTGTGGTTTGCCACACCTCAAGGAAGCACAAACAGCATGACTGTTGCCCTGTCAGTGAGGCTGTAGTGGATGTGAAGGTAAATCCTTCAAAATAAAACCAAACAAAGGTGGAGTAATGATATACTTCATTATGAGTTCCCTGAAAAGCTGTTATGAGCCTGAAGTTAAGGGGCCATCAAATAACTTTCTCTTAATTATCTACTCAGGAGAGAATGAAGTCAGTCCTCAGCTCATTGCAGGAAAAGAGGGATGCATTTGACAAAATGAAGAAAAACTATGAAGACACTGTGGAACACATTCAGGTGACATTTCATACAAACATCCCATTTACAGGCCGTGCCGTGTCCTTTCCAAGTCTTGCTTATGCTGGTTTTAATTTCAGGTCCAGGCTCAATTCGTGGAAAGACGGACCCGTGAGGAGTTTGAAAAATTTCACAGCTTCCTTCAAGCGGAGGAGGCAGCCAGGATGGAGGCGCTGAGGAGGGAGAAAGAGGAGAAAAGTGAAGAGATGAGGCAGAAGATTGAAGAAATGGAAAGAAACATAATGTCCGTGTCTGCATCCATCAAGGACCTGGAGGAGGAGATAGCTTCAGACGGCATCTCTGTCCTTCAGGTGAGTCTGCAAATGTTCGATATGTGAACACGTGCATTGATACCTGCATTAAAAAAAGGCTCTGAAAAAGTGAATTTGCCTTTTTTTTCCAGAAATGCAAGAGGACCCTGGCAAGGTGGAAAAAGCTTTTATATTTTAAACTTTTGTTTTTCTTCTCTTTCATAACATGAGACATAAATAGCATATTCTTACTCTGTTTTCTGCAGAGCTAACTGTCCAGTTGAAGATCCAGTTATGGCTCCAGGAGCACTCATAGATGTGGCCCAATATGTGGGCTGCCTGGCGTTCCATGTGTGGGAGAAGATGCATGAAATCATCAAATACAGTGAGCACATACTGTAGCTTACTTTTCAGGCCACAGTGAGGTTTTATTCTTTAAAGTTTGAGCTGCAGTTTCGCTCCCCTTCGTGGATTCCCAAGGTGGAGGAAAGGGTTGTGATTTTTGAATGAGATACAGTCAAAGTGTCTAACTGCAGACAGCTGACAATCTGCCATGTTTTCTTCAGCCCCAGTGATTCTAGACCCAAACTCTGCCGCCCCGTGGCTCATCTTGTCAGACGACCTCAGCAGCGTCAGTGACAGTGATGAGAAGCAGAAACTGCCCGACAACCCGGAGAGGTTCAACCCCGACACAAGCGTGCTGGGCCACGAGGGCTTCGCCTCAGGCAAGCACGCCTGGGACGTCAACGTGGGAGATAACACGGCATGGGTCGTCGGCGTGGCTAAAGAATCTGTCAAGAAGAAAGAGAAAGTGTCTTCGGTGCTGGTGAACGGCTACCTGTGTGTGTACTTTTACCACAAAATGTACTTCGCAGGCACGTCTCCACTAACACGACTTGGCTTGAAGAAGAACCCGCAGAGGATCAGAGTGCTGCTGGACTGTGACAAGGGCAGGGTGTCTTTCTACAACCCGCATGACAACACACACATCTACACGTTCAAGCACAGCATCACCGAGAAAGTCTTTCCCTACTTCTGGGTGGGCTGTCAGCAGTGTCCTCTGACAGTTGAACCAAAGGAGCTCTCAGTGAAGGCTGATGTGTATTGTTGAAATAACATTTCAGCTTCACAACTCCGTGCGCAAAAAAAAAAGAAGAGGAGCATTTCTGAATTTCACATATTATGAGGAGAACACTCAGAATCTGAAATCAAATGGCATCATATCTGCTTATCTTTCCTGGTTCAATAAAATGTTTTTTTCAGAATAAAATAAAACGAATGCCTTATCTGTATATTTAAAATGAAGTGAAATGAACTTTAAAGAAATAGTGGGGACTTATGTAGTGCAGGGTTAGAGATGTTAAACAGAATGTGGCAGCATAGAGTTTAACTTGTTTTTGTACTTTGGTGCATTGTAACCTTGAAAAAAAGTACTTTTATTTTTAAAAACTTTAATTTATGTATTCAACTTTGCATAATGATTTTGCCTTTGCATGTCAAAGTCTGAATGCCTTTTTTTTCTTTTTTTGAGCCCAGCCCTGTTTATATCTACTAATTTGTTTCACACATTAAATAGCTTTATGTGAATACACTAATGATGTCATTGAAATTACAAATAAAGAATTTTCAAATATCGTGACTTCCCTTGATTTCTGTGCAACATGCAAGTCCCTCTTGTGGTCTAGACATTCTGGCCTCGACTGAAACAATGAATGGTTGTTTTAAGTATGAACCCTCTCACCTTACAGTGGCAAGTAAGTGGTCAAAAAGACTCCAATGAATGAAACTCAATGAAAGAAATTGAAATGTGTGTGATGGATACGCACCAAGCAGCAGGCACATTCAAAATTTCTTCAGGAATTATAATTATTTAAATTTAGGAGTTTATTATGTAATTTATTTATTATTTACTTCTCTTTTTTTTGCGTTTCTTGGTTCTGTAACAGCATTTTGAACCCCACCCACTAAACCTCACCGGCTCCTCTCTGCTTAATCGATGTGCAAATCTTCAGTCTTCTTCCCTGAGGAACTCCACAAACTCACTTTCATTCATTTTCCCACCGCCGTTGATTTGTATGAAGCTGCTTTTTCATCCAGCGAGGTGACTCAACAGCGTTACAGGCCTGAGCAGGACAGCAGGTAATGTTTGACACTTATCAACGTGTTCATCAGTTTTATTTTTATTTTATTTTATTTTTTTTTTAGCTGCAATGCTAATAATGCGTGTAGCTAAAGGCTGAGATGAGAATGTGTTTCAAATTCTTAATTCTCTAAAAACGTAAGGTTAGGGTTTTTACTGGAGGTTGAGAAAAGTTACATTTACATAAATTATGAGCTCCAGTGGATGGTCATCAATACAGAACCTAAAATATGAACAGAATATATAAATGTTATTTACTGTAATTTATGAAATATTTTCCTCCTCGAGATAACATGGCTCAGCTTAATTCTTTACTGTTTACTATTTCAAATGCTACTGATAAAACTGGTGAAATTAGTGCAACACTTATTGGGGTTAACTAGCTTAATCTAAACCCATTTAACTTTTAACTTCCACCATGTTCTTCATACCGGCTTACTAAAAATGAACTGTTAAAAAAAAAAGGAAGTTCAAGATGGCTGATGTTGCATCCCTCAAAGGAAAGAAGAGAAAGATGGCACTCAGTGTTTTAGAGCTCCCATCCAAATCCTCCATAGTGACCTTACTGAGCCCGTCCCTCCTCCTCCTGGAAATCCCTGCTGACACCAACACCAGTCTCCCAGTATGGGAGGCCGTGAGATCCCAGCAGGTTGACGTCGCCTGGAGTGTCAATCCCTACAGCATCAGCGTTCATTTAACCCCTATGACCCCTAAGCAGGGGAAGGGTACAACTTCCAGCAAAAGTGAGAGCACTCCCAATGTCGTACAGACCTCAGCGCTTTCTTCTGGCATCCTGCAGCCTCAGACGTTCGTCCAGTCCATTGCGCAGCAATCTGGGCCCTCCCAGACGGTCCTGCTCACCTTCTCCCAAAACAGCACCCAATTGTCACCATGCCCTCCAGGTCAACCACAGAAAATACCTCCAAACCATAAGCCGGCCACCTCCCTCATCGTCTCCCTGCCTCTCATCATCACCCAACCCCAGCCTGCCAGTCAGCCCAGCGCCACTACCAAGAAGTCGGCCCTACCCGTCACCCAGACCCCAACAACCATGCCCACCAAGCTGCAATCCCCATCCAAAGCACCCGTCCCCTTTCCTTTCCACACGAGGAGCCTCTGTGACATCCAGATCTGCGACGACTTCCTCTTAAGCTTGTGTCGTTCAGGGAGGAAGTGTAAGATGCACCACACGCCCTACCCATTTCATTGGCAGCTGTGGTCCATGACCAGACATCAGTGGATCGACATCTCCCCTCGCTCTCAGGTCTTACTAGAAAGGACCTATTGCAACATTGAACAAGACTTGATTTGCATGAAGGATGGGTGAGTAAGAGGGAAAATCTGAAGTTAGCTTCACTGCATGTTACTATTTTATGGTATAATGTCCCTAAATGCAAAACAAAAGTTAGTGGGTTCTGATTGGAATCTCCTTTTTGTGCTTTAAATCATGTAGAGATATGCGCTACAGACTGAACTTTGACTTGATGGAGTTGGACGACCCATCGAAGTACGACGGAGTGAGACGACTGACCAACTCTGACAGTCCGCTCAGGAACCCTTACTTTCCCAGCAAATGGAAAATCTACTGGTGGAACAGCTTTAACTGGGAACAGTACAACAAGGTGAATGCTTTTTTCTTTTTCTCTTTCTCTCTAATTTAGTTTTTTTCATTTCCCTCATCACTCCATGACGCATTTAGGGCCTTTCTAAGACATCGAGTTGTACCCAGCAGCTCCTTGTTCACTGATTGGTTCATCTCTTCGTAGAACGTCTCCACCTTGCTCCTGAAGAAGATGAGTGAAAAGGAGCCCGAGTGCTCCTTCTACATCAGCTCACAGGAGTACAAGCTGGACTTCACCACCATGACCCAGACCAACATCACCACAGGGTTCCAGAGAGACGTTCGCTGCAGACCGGTCTACCGCTCCCCTGATTCCATGCACCCTTACCTGCAGTTAGTAACCCAGATCTTTTCACTGTCTCTCATATTAACCGCTCTAATTCAGATGAACAGCAAAGGAAAGCTGTTTGTAAGTCCTTTAAAATTGCTCTCACATCTCCTCTTCTTCACATTAATATCCTCCCCTCCTCTACTCCCCACACTCAGGACAGAAATCCAGACTGACCCCACTGAGCCTGCTAGTGGGGCAAACTTCAGCGTCAACCCCCTGGAGGAGTTCACTTCCTGGTATCCTCCGGTGTGGTGTCTGGCCTCAGAGGAGGACTACAGCCTGGTAGACGTTCCGGCGGGGACGCAGGCCTACCGGAAGGTCCAAAGTCTCTTCTATGAGAGCCTTCCCGAGACCAAGGTGGACATCATCAGCATTCAGCAAGTTCAGAATGTCCTCCACTGGGACAAGTACCAAAGGTGCAGCTGCTGTTTGTGTCTCTTTGTCTTGTCTTCTCATGTTTGTTGTCCAAGACTATTAAAATCCATCCGTTTTGTGCTGCATGATGATGTGTAAAAGTATCTCCGTCGTCATTGCAGGCACAAGGCGCACATGCAGAAGCTGCACAACACGTCTAAGGGGCCTCTGGAGAGACATCTCTTCCACGGGACGACCAAAGACGCCTCAGAAGACATCTGCCACAACAACTTCGACCCTCGCTTGGCCGGAGTCAACGGAACCTCTTTGGGGTTTGGCTCCTACTTTGCCACAACTGCCTCCTTCTCCTACAACTTCTCAGCCAAGGGGGGGTCGGATCAGCTTCGCCACATGTTCCTGGCTAAAGTCCTGGTGGGGAAGGTGAGTGTCGGGAGGGCCATGTACCGCCGCCCCCCAGCGCTCACCTCCAAGACAAGGAAGTACCGTCTCTATGATACCTGCGTGGACAAATTAGACAAACCCACCATGTTTGTAGTTTTTGATAGCTGTCAGTGCTACCCATACTACCTGATCAAGTACACTGACCTACCCAAAGAGATTGATATTTGATGATACCAGAGGCGTTCGGTGATGTTAACTGTTCAACCATAAAGTGTCGAAGGTGTCCAGTTGTGAGATGAAAGCAAATGCTCAGTTTGCCAACATAAAATCTACAATATAAACATTATGTGCAATGAAGTTCTACAAACACATCAGCTAAAATGCTAAAATTCCAAACCAGGCGAAGCACTTTATTTTTCAAAATCTCTTTATTTTGGTTATTTAAACATTTTACACTGATGGAAATAAGCACTTTTGTTTTTCCTCTTTGTTGTTCAGAATCAAATTGACTTCTGTTACATTTATGAAAATAAACTGTTAACTGAATTCATTCATCTCTCAGTGTATTCACATGATAAACAAGTTTGATCATCCGTTGTCATGTTTTCACCTGTTGAAATACCTGATTGTATGTTTTTCAAATTTCAGACTGGAATGTGTTTCACCAAAGTCTCTTGTAGTAAAAGCATATATATTTCAAAATATCTTCTATAAATTTTTCTCTCTCTCTCTCTCTTCAAAACTCCATTGCACACTTTCTTCACAATATCTTGACTACAAAATGACAAAACAGGATTTCCATAAACCGCTGGCACAAGTTATTCTGAGAATATTTATAACATTAATTGCTTTAAAACCAAATGTTTTGAGTGTGCATGTAAAGAAGGATGGTAACAGACTCTGACAGGCCCACTTAAATAGCAATTACATCTGTCCCTGAAAAGCATCTTCAGCAGGACTGAAGACTTTTTCTTTAAAAGATTCAGATGTAAGTGCGATTTTGAATTATTTATATTTACTGTTGGCTCTGTAGCAATGAAGACCATAAATATGGGTACTATACAGATGTTTTCAGTTATGTTTTCTCGTGTCATTTAGTCATACAGTACAATGAATGGAGAAACTATTAAGAGGCATTAAATGATGATGTAAAGCCATGTAAGCTTTACTAACCCTTACAGATTTCCCTTAATTTTCCCTTACGTCTCAAAAGGAAGGAGATGGACAGTTAGAAGACAACTTCATCTTAACTCAGTAAAATGTTGCTTAATATTGTGCACTCAATGTAAATACAGCAGAGTTCCTGTAGTTTCCTTTTTAAATCTGTATTTGTGTAGCCACATATAATCTCTGTCTGATGAATCAATAATCAACTTCCATTATTTTGAAATTCCCTACCTTGAAATGACATTTAGTGATTTATGTTGTTTAAAAACTGCAAGAATGAATCAAATAAGAAGGCTTTACCTTGTCTTTTATGTACAGTATGTATATCTTTTCTCTTAAAATGTGCAATTCTGCATTTGTTTACTTTTTTTATGGTAATCCGACTTATCTTTAAGACAAAGAAAAATCACAGTCACAAGATAAAAATTACACTTAATCACAAAAAAACACTTAAAACCATAAGACAGGTCTGTTCTGAATAATGCACCTTCCACACAAGAATAAAAAAAGAGGGATGACAACATGATAATAAAGAATAATGTCAAAATTAGTTATAAGTAAATGGCAGATTAAATCATGCAGTCACATTTGAAGATGTAAACAAGATTAAAATTCTGTGGCCACGCTAGCGGCAAGACTGTAAGGTTCATTAGACACCAGAGGAGGAAAACGTTGGATGGATGAAAAACGGTTCCTTATTACTAAAGAAAAAAATCTCAAGTTTGGCCAGCAGGTGGCGTCAGAGGAGAGGCCCTGTTGTGTAATTCAAAATGGTTTGTGCTGTGCAAAGCGAGATATCGATGGACATCAACATTCTTAGGGATACGCCACTAGAATGGCCAGAAACACTGACTGAAATGAAATATTAAAGGCAACAGAAGCAACAGAAAGATACACGATTAATACACAGATCACATATCTCCAAACAGGGCCTTAAATTTAACATCAGATCTTTTTTTGCAATAGGTGTTTAAAAAAAGCACCACTCCCCAGCACAGATGCAAGCCATGTGTTTTGCTTTTTCCCTTTTAGTTTGTGTACATGGGTACATATACACATACTGTACACAATGGGTAAACTGATATGAAATGGCATTAAAAAAAACAGGAATCAAGAGAGGTGTTGGATTTGCCATCAAAGCAGCAACACCTCTGACCAACGTCCTTATGTCAGTCTCATATTTGTTTTGTTTCATCTGTGTGAACTCATTCCTGATTTCTGTAAGCAGTGTCGCTGTCGCCCTGGACAGGAAAGGATGTGAGTGTGGAAGGAAAACCGGTGGTTCATTCACAGGCCAACTTGCTGTCAAAGCTCGAAAGGCCAATGGCAAAGGCTTGAAGTGCGCACATGGGATAGTTGTAGTCCAGAGTGAAGATGTCTTCAGCCACTCTGCCGAACTGCATGACAATGTAGTCAGCTGGAGTGACGAGGAAACAGAGAGTCAGTTGTAGAGTGGTCACCAATGTGTGTGTGAACGGTACAGAAAATATCTCAAGTACTCAAGCAAACCAACAACCACCAGGGCTGAACAGCCCAGAAAAGGAGACCCCAATTAATATGGGCCACCAAGGTAACAACTGCTCAGCAACGAAGATGTCAAAATAAAACAAGAGCTGGTGTTAAAACGAGGTATAAATGAGATACTTACGGTCATTGTCGTGAACTATTTGAAAGTTTTTGACTGAAGCTTGCGTGACGCGGCCGTGGAAGTTGAGCACGTAAGACTGGGTGTCATCGTTCCACACGGGGGCCTTGTTGTGCAGCTCTATCAGGTTGTCCAGCGAGTGATTCTGCCACCTGTTGAGGAGGCTCTCCTGCTCCTGTCATACAAGCACATTTACTTTGAAATGAGCAGTTTGGCTGCAGGTTCGCAGCTACACACGGGTAATGTTTTAGTCAAGTTGAAAATACATTTATGTACAAAATTAGACATTACAGGTCTCACATTTTGAGGTCTGACAGGGACTCTTTCAAAGTTCATGTTCATGCCCGGGATGATTACAGTCATTTTGCGTGGTCCTTTGAATCCCAGCACATTGGTTTCCTGCCAAATGGTACAGAGAGTGGGACAATTTCACTTCATGTAATGAATGAACAGGAGGCGCGTTACAGTATAACACATTGCTTGTCTTTGTCATTCGCTCACATAGCAGATTGCAGCCAGTTCCTGTCGTGTGTTGCTCTCTTCCAGCAGAGCCCCGGGGTTTTTGCAGGGATTTGTGCCGTTGTCGTAAACTGTGAATTTGGTGCCCATGAGGTTGGACCTGTAAGAACACACACACACGAGTGTCAAAACCAACAAAACATAACAGCTAAAAAGGTGCAGTTTAATTCTTTGTACCCAGTTTAAGGCAATCACAGCAACTAGTAATCAGCAAGAGCTGTTGCTAAGTGTCTGAAAGCTGTAGTTAAGTATAATTTGCTCATAGTTCTGGCTAATGCAGCTATTTGTCACAGACATGTGGGTTGTGTAATTTGTTTCATACAATAAGAACACAAAAAAAAACATGAAATACTTGAGCCACTGAGATTTTCAGGAGGATTTTAGGCAGATTTCAGTGTGATCGTTTAGAGTTAAATTAAATGTGAATTTAATCCATCATGAACTTGGTTGATCTAAGAGGAAGTGTGGTTTTACCTCAGTTTACCGATGAAGCTCTCTCCCTCTCGTGACAGATCAGTGGCGTCCACTGAAATTAGGTAGTTGGACGTCTTACTCTTCTTTCTCTTCCTTCCTGCCAGCAGAAACACCTGCAAAAAGAGAGATATTATGTATTCAAGTATGAAACATTTTCATACATCCACAGTATGTTTTTTGTTTCTGTCTCAAAAACACACTCCAAATGTACATAACTCAAAATGATCACAACATCTCCAATTACTTGGCCCACACTCACCCTCTTGCCATCTTCTCTCTCCATGTGCATGAAGTAGGTGGGGTAGAGGCCGCGGTCCATACCCTTCTTGTCCCGAGTGATTCGACATTTGACAGTGACGCCACGTGGAGCCGGACGCAGGACAAACTCCTCTAGGTTAGCCACATCGATTAGTGAGCTCTCTGCTGTGGGTGATCCTGGGGTTACAACATCCTGGGGAGCGGGAGACACGGACATTTTTGAAAATAACTTAATAAAGCAGTAAATAGCTTTTTACTGCTTTATTTCAATGGGATTTGAATTATGTAGACTATATTAGAGGCTTGTTGGTGGGTGAATTTACTCACTGAAGCATCCTTGCCGCTGGCAGCGGACGCAGGCCTGGTGGTGTCTGTGTGAGGGGACAGGGAACGTGTCCGCTCTTCCTCCACATCGTCCTCATGCTCGCTGGCTTCATCGAAGTTCATACTGCCAGACAGACCTGACGAGGGAGAAGAGTTTTTATGGCACATGAAACGTCGTTAGCATTTTTCCTGCTGGGAAACTTATTCACACGAGACAGAGGAGGAAGAGGAATCCCAGAGGCTTTATGTATTTCCCCCAACTACAAAAGAATCTCTAAGACTTCATTTTATTTCTTCTCAGGGTTTTTTTAGTTTTGCTGCAAAATTGTCCCTGAGGTGCATTTTAAAATTTTTTGGTTCATCTGTGGTCTTTGATATGTGACGACAAATTTCTAAAAAGCTGATGCAATGCTTAAGCAATAGTTGGAGCATAAATTAGTGCAACTACAATCCTTCCTTTTTATACTTCTCTGAAATATTCAGAAGGGTATTTCTTACATAGGGGAGACTCATTCCAGCTCTTTAGCAACAAAAGAAGAAAGTGGAAGAATAAAGACTTGTGAATCTAACTGAGCCATCTCCAAACTGCTTTTTATCAAATTCAGCTAAGCTCTGCTCACCCTCCCAAAAGGTCACATTTAGCTAGTGGCCTCAACTGAAGCTCTACCTGTCACAGCCAATGCATCTGTTTCTGCGAGGGTGAGATTAATGTCAGGAGATGAGGGTGACGTCCCTCCATGCCTTGCATATATATGTAGTTGTGCAGGAGGCAGCTCCATGCAGTCATACAGTCATGCAGATGTAAAATGGGGCCGAGCTGACTGCAGTCAGTGAAGACTGCTTGAGACATCTGTCTCTTCGCTGATAATTGAATTTTTCAGCCAGGATGCAACTCTTGGCTGCAGCTATGGTCCATCTGAATGTGCTGTCAGAAGATGACAGCGGCCCGCTGGCATGGAAACATCTCAGTAAGCGGGGGGAACTGTGTCATCCAGAACTTTGCAGTGTTTTAAGATGCGAACATTTTTAACTGATTAAAATGTAACTTGGTTGAACAGAAATGACATTAATGATAATAATGAGGTGGATATAAAACTATAGAGCATGTTGCAAAAGCCCCAGCACTCAGCTCTGAGCCCATCAAAATCTCAATTCTTCACACACATATTAGTACTTTACTTGGCAGCTCTCTGACTCCAGACATCTCTGCCACTTCCTCCTGGTACCAATCACCTGGACTAAGCAGATTAAAGTAAGTAGGGGAGGGAAGGGAAGGAAATGGCCTACTCCGTATTAAACAAGGTGAATAATGCAGCAGACTCCACAGCCAAACACAATATTTATACTGGGGTATTTGCAAGAGATGAACCCTGGATATGCAGCTGTCCCTGAGAGAAAGTGCGAGTCATCATGAAATACAGATTGCAAATGTTAGCTCCCCTCTAACACTGACTCCAGGGCTCCAATTAAAACACCAAACAAAGTTGTGTGAGCCAGTGGCTGATGAAATCAACCATCTGGAAATGTCAGAGAGGACTCACAATGGGCTAACTGACAACACACTAAATAAACCCTTAAAAAAATACACATCTACATGATAATTACTACACAAAGCCCTGCAGCCAAAAATACAGATTTTGACTGAAGGAGCTGATCAAATATGAATGCACCTGAAAATTTCTATTTCTTCCGTTTCCTCAGGGATTGGGGTGATGTGCAAGGACAGGAAGCCAAAAATACCTGCCGCAACTCCTGAGGACATATTTCTCTGCTAAACTGGGCTGACATTAACAATGAAGCCTTGCATTATTGAAAGGACGGTGACATTTTCTACCGTGGCATCACATCACGCCAAAGCCCAGAGAAAGATATGATCACTGGAGCAGCTTTTGATTCAATTTGAACTAAAATATCTAACAGCCTACAGATTTCACATACTAATGGCAAAGTGGTTCAACAATGGCAACATTATATGACACCAGTAGCACTGCTTCAAACTTTTTACTGATTTAAAGTCAAGTTAATGTGTTTTTAGGGTTGAGAAACTTGTTTTTGCTCCACAGTGGCAAGTGGATTTAATAAGCACACAACCCACTCTAGGCTAGATTTTAGTACACCTTCCATAAACTTTATAAATCCCTGCCAGCTGGCTGCTGAGTGTGGGTGGCAGTGGCTATAATGATGCCATAGATGAGCACTGCAGTGTGAACAATGCTCCGGCCTATTATTAAATGACCCATTTCTTGGTGCGTCGCCATCAATCACCTCACCGTCTGCATCCCTCTTCCATTACTGCAGCAGGAGAGCGCTTCAAAGTGTAAAGGATGTCAAAAAGTCTTACTTTGTCTAACGATAGCTGCTAATGTGGAGTGGTTTCAACAACTGTGATTACATTAACAAAAAGCCGATTAATACCAAATACACTCATTATGATGACAGTTTATCTTAACGAATGTCACCCTGATCTGAATAACTTTCTCTTGTGTCTGTGTGGTGATGGCCAATCACATACATGCAAGTGTGCATGCCAGCCCGTTCCTTTAGCACAGGGTAAATGTCTGTCTGCATGCGGCCTGAGACGTGCACCAAAACCCAAGAATTTGTTTAAAGATCTGTTCTACTGTTTTGCTGTTGTTCAATAATAAGTCAACAATCATTGTACAAGAAAAGATTCACTTTTGTCACTTGAGGCTTGGGGCCCTTGGGGCCGGTTACACAAGAGAGTTACTTAACGTTGTCGCACAGATTCTCTTAAAGGGTTTCCTTAGTTCAAATATGTAATGTAAAATCAATTCCTCATCGTTAAGGGTGCCTCTCAGTTGTGGAACTCTCTTCTTGGGATGCTTTCATTTTCTTCATTTATCACCATAAACCCAGCCTTGCAGTTAACATAGAGTCAGAGGCACCTTTAGTTTTATCACTGTGCAACAGTTTAACTGACTTTAAGTGATTCCTTAAGTATAAGACTAAGATGAGAAGAAAACCTTAAATACTTAAATGAACATTTTAAGTAAACCTTAAGAAGAAGACTTAAGGGTGTTTTGTGCAACTGTTATTATTTTAAGGAAAATCTTAACTCGAGGTGTTCTGTGCAATCGGCTCCTGCTCTCCCTGTAATGCATGTAAAACTTTTTTGCCAGACAATCTAGGTTTGGAAAGTGAATGATTGATGCATTTCTACTAGTGTATATTATATAAGATCGTTATGGACAATATCTTTCTCATATCTAAACCTTTGTCTAAAAACCAGGTGCTGAGCTCTGCCAGGACTCACCTTGTTTCTGCAGTAATTCATGGATGTCTGTCTTGGGCTCTAGCAGCGTCTCAGTGTCTCCGTCTCTCTCAGGCTCCTCGGCAGCAGGGGACTGGGGCTGGGACTGAAGCTGGGACTGGGACTGGGACTGGCTCACAGAGAGGATTTGGATTTTCGCTCCCAGATCGGGGGCTTCTGAGCCCATGAAGGCTGCTGGGCCGTCAATACCTACAGTTAGTGAAAACAGCTGCAAGTCAGTCAGATGTAACCTTAGTTGTTGATGTTCTCGTGTTGTGCTAATTACACAGAACTGCTGGATGTGAGTCATCACAGTGACTGAAAAGCTACACTACTTTAATTAGCTAAAGACTTGCCTGGGGTGTTGAGCAGGTACGATGATTGGTGTCACATATTGCTAAATGGTGCCAATGCACTCCTGTGTATTTAACTCTGTCTTATCATACTTTATAGCACAAATGGAGGCGTGCTGTGAGTTTTCTGCTTTGATTTTAGCATAGAAACTAATCTGCACCTTTCATTCTAATTACAGTCGTTGTTTATAGTCTCTCAGTCTAATTCTATAGTGGTTAGTTCACGTCTGAATGAATCAGATAAATCTCTCCCTTTCCTCACCATCCATGATGACATCATTGATGATACTGAGTTGAGACTCCACCAGCGGGGCCTGCTCCTCACCGCGCCGCGCCCTGGAGCGCCGCGGCCAGGCCTCCGTGTTGGGTTGGACCATCAGAGGCTCCTGACGCCTCCTCCGCTGCTTCTGTTCCAGCAGCGCCCTCTGTGGACCGAACACGGGAACAGAAACGGCGTGACACTTAACTCTACATTCTGTGGCCATGTGACTGGAAAAATCACTCCATACATATATATAACAGTTTTCTGTTAAATATTACAAGAGGTTAAGAGCCCTTGGAAAACATCGACTCTATGAGCTGAGGGTAATTACATTTGTATGCATGATAAGCTGCAACCTGTGCCTGTCAGTCAGCCTGTTTTGCAAACGGCCAGGAGGACAACATTAAAGATAAAAGACACAGGTGACAGCTGCATTGCACAGCTGAGACTAAGAAGTGTTGGACTTGTTAACATTTTATCCTCTGGGGATCATGAATCTTTGTACAATGCAAAGAAATCCATCCAGTACTTCTTAAGATTTCACTTTGGAGCACAGCTTAATACCAATATAAGATGGACAGGTCATTTAGTCACACAACAATACAATATACCTGATCCTACAGTAAGAGGACAGAGAACTTCATCCTGTCTAGACCTGTTAGGCATGAAAAGCTTTTCAGGGTATAGAAAACTGTAAATAGTTTTATTGTAAATGGTTTTATTGAACTCATGAGTTCAGTGATCGACACTCACACTGCACTAACAATGCAGTCGTACAGAACAGCTGATGTTTTGTGAATACTCGATGACAAGCGCAACAGAATTAATAACCTTAAGAGCAAAACAAAAAGAGAGCGAGGGAGGGAGGGAGGAATGAAAAGAAAAAAAAACATAATAAAACCCAACAATCACGCCAAGGCTGGAATACCTCTGAGTGCACTGAATGAGATCATTGAATAGGCAAAGTAATGGGTGCTGTGGTCTCTCAGGAGCTTAAAAATGTGATAACTTAAGTATTTGTTCCCAATGACTAAACAAGATCAATATTTGCTTTTACTGTGATATAATGACTTTGTTGAAAATTCACTCTGGTCATGTTGTATTCCCCCCCACCCCACCCCCCGAGCTCCAGCCTCTGTGGTCAGGGCGGCCGATGGATTACGCAAGTGCATTAATTAGCGCGTCAAATGCACAACAACAAGTCCTGTTTAGCGATGCTGCCTAGCCAGCCGGAAGATACCAGGAGGCCTTGTCTCATATTTGTCAGACTGAAAAGCTTTCATAACTCACCAGAGCTCAGAAAATGTCTCTAAGAAATCTGCCCTGCTCCGTGCAGCCACAGCAACATCTGCTCCCAGTGTTACGAGTTATGAGTGAAAAAAACAGATTAATGTGATTAAAATAAAAACAAAGAAAGAGATGATAAAGGAAAAAAGTAGTATTTTAAGTAATAGAAAGAATATCACATTAGTTAAGTATTAGTATACTAGTATCTTTAACGTATAAGTTAATGATAAGTCCTGGGAGCTTTATAAACCAGACCTAGATGTGTTATCATTTCAAAAGACCCTGCTTTAAGAGGCCCATGATTTGCATGCTCGCTTTATGGCTAAAAATAAAGGCGACAAATGAATAAAACATAAAGCAGGATTATCATAATCATAATCATTACTGTTGGTGTAATAAATGAGCCAAATACTGCCAAATTTCAGGAAGCACATAAATGGTGATGGAGAAAAAACACACAGAAGAGTCGGTGACGGTGAAGTTATGTAGGAAAACTGAAATGATTATTGAGTTCCTCATTTTTATACATTTGCTCTCAAATTTTGTGGTTTATATTGTTCATATTTTTTTTTAAATCAAGAATTATTTTCTACATTCAGTCCGTTTGCTCTGACTTATTCAAACTTTTTATCAAGATACTGACCGCAAAGTAAAGTAAAATCACAAAAGGTTTGTTGCATGAAAAGTCCTGAACCAGACACCTACACACTGGACTAATTCTTCGTACAATCAAAGTCTGATCGGTGTGTTTTCCTTCCCCTCTCGTGCTATTTTAAGCCAATCTATTGTAATATTCTCTCCTTTTGTAAAGACTCAGTGCTTGGCATTTTCAGACCAGGAAGTGACTTCATTCAGGCTTTTACAGTCCTTCCTTTGTCTGGCAAAACATGGGAAGTGGAAGAGACTCAAACATACTGTATAATCAAGTGTGTCCCTGCAAACCATCTGATAATAACAATATAACTTACATGAGATTTAAAAACACAGAGAAGTTTAAGTTAAAGTTGAGCTCTGTCTGCTGGATATTACTGGGTCTCAAACAGCCACAAATCTTTATCTCATACAAACTGTTCTCCTGAGTCAGATGAAAAAAAGAAAATATACCAGAGGAACAAATATTAGAAGTTACAAACCCGTTCCATTGACATCCTGAACAAGCGTGGGCCAAAGTTAACAAGTTTCTCTACAGGAATAACGTCACATGTCCCGCTTGTCTTGAGATCAGATGAATCTCTGTTCTCTTCTAAACAGCAGCAGTCCTGCCGGGCATGACTCCGTCTCCCTGTCCCTCATTCCTCCTCCTCTGGAGCCGAGCTGGAGGATCAATAAACCAACAGCCTCCTCTGCACTATGTGGTCCTCTGGCAGAAAAGGGTCTGTCTCCCCAGCCAAACACTGAGCGCCAGAGTTTGTGTGTGTGTGTATGTTTGTGTGTGTGTGTGTGTGTGTGTGTGTGTGTGTGTGTGTGTGTGCGCGCAGCCACCGTTGCTAACTGAATCAGTAGTCATTAGCACTCCAGCAGGAGAGAGAGAGAGAGAGAGGGAGGGAGAGGGAGGCTGTGAGGTGCGCTCCACATGAGATACAGTCCTGGAATGACTGACTGAATGGTTTTTATTTGGTCATTTGAAATGAGGTGGGAAAAAGCTAAATTGAGTAAAAACAGTAAAAAGGAGGAGATAACTTTTACTGTTTAACACTTATTCATTTTTCATATTTTCCATAACCTGCATCTGATCCCCCTCTGGGCATGAGTTATGTAAGAAAAGAAGACTCTCAAGTGAGGCTGTTTGGACTCAGCTGAAAGTGTGCAGCACAACTGAGCCACAGTGGGACCCACACACACACACACACACACACACACACACACACACACACACACACACACACACACACACACACACAAAGCCAGGCGCCCCACACTAAATCCTCTCTCTCTCTTTGAACTCACCAATCTGGCGCTCATGTTTCTTTCTGCCTAATGTGTGAGATAGTGGAGCAAGGCTTCCAGCTTAAATCAAAGCCTCTACGCCGCGACTCTACAGCAAGGCTGGGGATAAAGCGTCTCACAGAGCCTCAGGAGGAAAGGGATGAAAAGAGTACAAATGTGGAACAGAGGAAGGGCTGTGTCAGGTAATCAGCGACAAAAGGAAACAATTCAGCTTCAGGAGTGAGGAAGCATTAAAATTCCAAGTGACTGGGCAGGTGAAAAACAGGAGATTTCCGAACCAACTACATTAATCGCTAAATTGCACACATGATGTTGAAGCTGCTCTTGCCAACTGTAGGCACCCCTCGGTGAAAACGGATCAGAACATGAGGCCATCTCAGCCCTATGATTTACCAGTCTTATGCAGAATCTTAGCAGGTGCAACAGAGGTCAGCCCTCCACCTAAAACATCATCTAAGTGTGCGTTAGGAGCTTTTAATCAGACAAATGCTGCAACACAACAGCTATGAACTACACCAGACAAAAGAGTAGAGACACCAAAGTCTTAAGAAGAATCAAACAACAACAGCAAAAATGTGAATAGTAAAAAGTGAGTTGTTTGTTGAAGTTTAATTTCCTACCTGTTTTTCCAGCTTCTGCTGCATTAGACTGGCGCTGTCATCTTCGATTCCACTGCATAGAAAGGGAGGAATATTATAAAGAGAGATTCATCTCTTACAGCATCTGCACTGAGTTTGATTTCCTTCTCAAACCAGTAGAGGGCCCCACTGCTGTTGCATTAATACAAGGCTATAAAGACATATGGTTTTCTATAAAATAAACCATTTAAGAAGTTTTAGTCACAGTAATGGCAGCAAAAGGGTCATTCAGAAATGTAAAAGTGATTAGAGATACCTACCATACAGTATAATTAAAAGCCCAAATAGAGACCCCCTTAAAGCCAAATAGGTGACCACAGTGACCCTCTGAGACTATTAGTGAACTATGGCATGAGCCACTCTGTGAGAATGACAGAAAGAAAAGAAAAGAAGGCAAGTTTGTGCAAGAAAGAAGAACAAAGCTCCAGCTGAGATTACACCTTGCACTCTAGGTCCTCTGGGCATTCACCCTGGACACCTATCTGAAGGGACCGGGCCTGTGTTGCTTAGCTACAGTGAGGAGAGAGAGAGGGGGCAACAGCAGGAGTCTGTACTGTCAGTATCTGAGTCAAAGACCTACAGTTATCTCCACTCCTGTCCTCTCTGTCAAACACACACACACACACACACACACACGAGTCAGTCACATAGGCTGATTTAACGTGCGGGTCACTGACTGCATTTCTCATATCTTTAATCTTTTGCCTGTTGAGTAAATCTTTAAATATTACATGTTCTGCTGGGCTGAAATGAGTTTTTTTTTTTATAGAGAAGGATTAAGGTTATAGGGTGCAAAGTCTTCAAATCACCATGCCTATCTCCCCATCAGGTATAAGCTCATCAGATATCTGACTCGCTCATCCTCGCTCCCTATTTCCATCTCCCTCAGTGACTCTCACAGCTTCTAGTGTGTAGGTGATGACACACGCTACTTAACGACCTCAAGCCTGATGCTGGCTTACATCACAGCAAGTCTCTCAAGGACAGTCACTGAACGCCAAAGGGCGACGATCCCCAGAAACTCATTTAAACCAAGAAACACACAAGTGCATTAATAAGTCATTTCCGCTCCCATTAAACCCACAGAGTAACAATTAACATAATCATGGAATTGAATCACGATCTGTCCATTCTACATCAGACTTAGTCGTCTCGTACCAGTGTCTCGTTTTATCACTTGTAAATCCCCCTCACTGTTGACACTGGCAAACAGATGGGTGCCCCGGGAGGCCATGATGGCACCTGAGAACAGGTGCCGGTGACAGGGAGAAGAACTAGAGAGCAGAGGATGATAGTAGTTTTTAATCACACATACAGGACTGTCATCTAGGATGGCGAGGAAAGAGATGAGTGAGACTTTAAGTTAGCTAACTTCTGGCAGAGTGGCTTTTATCCAAGGAAAGATTTACAAAGTGTTTGTCTCAAACTAATGTGATTATCCAACAATCAGACCAAGGCATGAATAACTCTGATTAAAATGTTTACTGAGATTTCCCACTGGGCTATGCCATTAATATTGCTGTTTCCATGGTACAAAGCACAGTCTGATTAATGACTGAAGACACACCCTCTACATCACAATACAAAATGAGATTTTCCCTGATGTTTTCCGCCTCCAACACAATCTTTCTGTTGTAATGGTGCTGCGGCATACCCCTGAGATAATCCTCGTCTGAATATTTTATGATAGCCTCGACACAGAGAATGTTTTTCGAGATAAAGACGTGCCACTTGGTACCAGCAGAAGCACATTAAGTCTGTTTGTAGCCTAGAGAGCAATCCCAACTGATGAAAGAGGCTCAGCAGTGAAACACTGGGTTGCCATGTGCCCAAAAATGTTGGGGAAAATAAAAAAAAAGACAAAATATGAAAGAAAAAGCAACTAAAATGGAGGTCCTCCACATATTTTACAGTGAGTCTTATTTCAACAATCAGCACTCAGAACACCATAATCAGATGTGGTTTAATTGGTTTTCAAAATACCCAGCATGCCTTAGTCACATTATGGCATTTAGGATTATTGATGATTTCTCTGTTTTGCATCTTTATAAACGGAATATCTTGATATAATAATATCTTGGAGACGTAACTTTGGAAATTACGATTTTCTGAAATGTTATAGACCTTAATTAACTGAGGAAATAATCTGCATGTTAAATCAATAAAGAAAATAATTGTTACTTGCAGCCAAAAATGAACACACAGCCAAACCACAGATTTCACTCACTCACTCACTCACTCACTCACTCACTCTCACTCACACACACTCATTCTCACACACACACACACACACACACACACACACACACACACGCACGCACACACACACACACACACACACACATACACACACATACACACACACACACACACACACACACATACACACACACACCAAACCTGCTGGTCATTCTCTAAATTTATGGTGATCTTTAATTAAAACAGCAGGGGTTCAATCCACCCTCCTGTCTGTCCATGACCTTCAGGTAATTCACCTAACATGTGAAAGAAGAGGGTTTTGTGTGTGTGTGTGTGAGAGTGTGTGTGTGTGTGTGTATGTTTGTGTGTGTGTGTGTGTGTGTGTGTTGGTGTGATGGTGTGTGTGTGTGTGTGTGTGTGTGTGTGTGTGTGTTTTGGGGTGTGTATTGCTTGTTACCTTGCTGTTGAGTTCGAGGAGAAGCTGGCAGAGCTGGAGGGTCTTCAGGGAAAAGGGCAATTTGGCACCAAGGCAGCCAGAAGCACAAGACATGGCGAAAATAAAAGAGTGACATACATTAACATCAACATAAAGAAATCTGTGAGCTATGAATAAAAACCCATATTCCTATATGGATTTTTAGAATTTTTTTGTTGCTTAAATTCAACAAGAAAGTTGTTTCCGTCTGTCTGCTCACAGCAGTTTTACTTTTGATGACAGTGATCATCATGTAAAGTCAAACAAGCTGGTAATGAAATCAGAGCACAGCTGTAGAGCAGGTGCAATATAAAATAAAAGACAAGCAAGAGAGTATTATCATAAATCTTCAATCTGCTGGGAGTCAAGAGAATGACACACACACACACACACACACACACACACACACACACACACACACACACACACACACACACACACACACACCCTTGTACACCTGTCTTTGTGGAGTCCCTAGCCCCCTAGCCTAACCATAACCATCACAACTGAATGCCTAACCCTAACCTTAACCTAAAACTAATTCTAACCCTAACTCTAAAAGCAAGTCTTAACCCTCAAACATCCATTTAAACTTGTGGGGTCCAGCATTTTGGTGCCCACAAAGCTGTCGGACCCCACATGAATTGTAAAACAAGTCCATGTGCAGAACCCCACACAAACACACACACACAGGCTGCTTCATCACAGCTGTGAGTGATCAATGTTTCATCAGTCCGTCACAGCTTGGGTGACAAGAGAAGGACACGCCACTGTTGTCTCTTCCCCTGTGTGTCAGACCGAGGTAACCATGGAGATTTCGGCTCCGGCAACAGCACACCTCCACCAGTATTGCATAAAAAACCTACAGCCAGCTCAGTGCGGCTTCATTGTAATTGGAGGCCTTAGCACTGTGATGTAAAGATTTACTAAGAGACAGAGGGAGGGTTGAACCGAGTCGTGTAATTGTTTCTGAGCTGCACATCAAAATCTAAATATTTATGAGATTATATGATTTTAATGCTATTAATGGATGAGGAATATCCCACCACAAAAGTGGACAAGTTGACCAGT